TAAATTCTATATGAAAAATGGTCTCTCCAATAGCCGTGCATTTTCACTATCAAGTGGCTAAAAAATAATTAAACACTTTCCTCCCTTATTTTTACTACCAATCGATTTCTAATTTATCGAGTGTTTTAATGCCAAACATCTTTAAGCCTCTGCAAATTCTACTTCAATTTATTTTGCACCTCTTCGAACTCCGTTCCCTCTATTTGAAAGAGCATGCTAAAGAAGTTTCTTCACGAATCCCTCTTGCGAGTGAAGCCTCCCTGTCCATGTCCACGATGAAGCCCATCCAGCCTTTCTTCCTTGCTTGTGTGCAATCCATCTGCCCCGCCGCTCTTTCTCCTTTCTTGCATGTAAAACCTCTTCTTCATGAAGAAATCTCACGAACAAAGCTTCTCTGCATGTGTACACAACCCGTCTTTCCCTCTTCTTACTCGTATATGAAAAATCCCCCTAATCAAGTGCAACGTATCTTACCTTGCGCTCTATATGTTGGATTCCAACAATAAGGATGCCAAGCACTTCAATTGTGGCAATGTGTGTATCTATTCAGCCATTTTGATTTTTCATCGGCAAGACGATACCATAACCAATAATAAGGATGCCAGTCACTGCCTCCGGCCACCACCACCGTCATTGTCGACCAATACCACCTCTGGCCACAACCCGCCACCACCTCTGGCCACCATTGCCTTCGGTCGCCGCCTTCGGCTACAATCACTAGCAACCGCAGCCGCCGTCACCTCCGATTACCACCTTCGACCATCATCGCCATCCATAGTCTCCAACCACCACTGCCAGCCACCGTCGCTAGCCACCCCAATCGCCACCTCCGGTCACTGTCACCATCGCCACCACCTCTAGCCAACACAATTCACTTTGCAATGCAATCACTTTACTCAATTAAAACAAAAAAAATGTCACTCTAAATCCTTTATATTCATCTAGACAACTCAAAAATATTTCTTTACACTGTATTACTTTTTTAGGCAACCACATAGCCCCTTAGTTATTTTAATCTCATGATGGCATGCCAGAATCAGATAATTTCATAGGATTTTTTAATTATGAAGGGCTGCACGTTATGGGAGAAAAATTAAGCACCAGGTAGATCAGACTTCTCCTATTATGTAATTGAATATTATATTGAGAATATAATATTGTCTCAGGATACTGACACAATATTCAACAATGGATTAAATATCAAAATAGAGTTTTGGAAAATTATATTTCAATAATTAAACACATTTCAAAGAATAACATATTATCTTGAAAGATGGACATAAAATTTAATAGAATGTATTTAAAAATAAAAATTGAGCCTTAAAAATCTAATCATTCTTTTAATTATATGCAATAAGGAGAATACTACACCATCTTGAAAGACGATGATAATATTCTTCAAGGCGTCTAAAAATAAGAATGAAATTTATAAAACTCATTACTTTTAAGATCAAATATAACAAGGAGAATGTTATATCATATAGGGAGACAATAATAATGTTCTACAAGTATATCCAAAGTTAGAAATGAGTTTAAAAAGAAAATCTACATTCCCAAATATTTTTCTCTTATTTTATAGAACTAAAATAAGATTTATTTTAATATGGAGTTCTCAAATCCATTTAAGGGCAAACCTCTATAGTTAATTACATCATAGAAGAGATACTCCAAAAAAAATTCTTAATTAAATCAGCAATTTCATACCCTTTGATTACAAAATAAAAGGCAAGGAAAGAAGCAAGAATTTTTCAAGGAGAAAACTCAATGTTTAATATTTCTTAGCGAGTTAAAGGAGAAAAAGTAGAAGGTGTCTAATTCTAAGAGGCTCAAAGGCAACCTAGTCTATCCTATGTTGGGCTTTAATATCTTAGAGAGAGAATTTTCATATTTAAGTTGACATTTTATTAGAAATGTAAATTATATTCCCAGAGGACGAGGACTTAAGATTTAAAATCTATCTTAGAACCTAGATCTAAATTAGGTTCTGCAAAGTAATGACTTGAGCCTATCTAATGCAGTGTAAATATAGACTTATCCCGGCCTGAATTGAGAATCCAGCAAACCACCTAGGCGCTTAAAATCCATGAATCCAGTCTTTTTATGAAAGATGAGTACGAATATTATCTAAATTTTGAGGAGTTGAGGGTCGTCAACAAGACAAATCCTAATTGATCCCTTAACTTATGTAGCGTAATTGATGCTTGAAAAATATAATTAAAAATTTTAATTTTTTAATTCATTTCTAATGCAATGCATGCTAGTTGACTTGATGAATGCATAAAATTGAATATGAATCTGTTTTAAAAAGGCTTAAAAATAATTTTTTCCTTAGAAATTACACAACATTCCCTTGATAGAATTGCACCATAATAGATCAGGTGACATGTCAGAACTTACAAGCGGGGAGGTGTATAATAAGAAAGATGAGAATTTTAATATACTTTATGAAGACTCTCGACTGTCCCTAGTTTACTTCTTAAATCGTTAGAGTTACTATATGAGCTTAAATATTTTATTTAAAATTTAAGTAAAAAATATTTTTATTCATACCCTCACGAGCCTCCGGTCGTATACAGGCTAAAATAAAATATGGAATACAATAAAGAAGCCTAAAACATAGACAATTTCTACTGCACAAATAATGTAAACAATCCATTAAATAATAAATTATCCAACCATAAGATAATGTCCAGACTTCATGTGGCAAGTACCACTTATTATACAAGCTAGGGTCTACTGAAATTTAAGGGGTAGGATACCATTGAGAACAAATCGGATTCTAATCCTATGACTGATGCAAATGATTTTGAAATGAGATATCTCTTCATCTTCACCTCTTCATCTTATCTCCTTCATATTCTTTCCTTCTGCGAGCTCCTTGAATTTGTCGGGTCTAGATATCTAAATGAAAAGAAACTCATCCCCGAAGAGATATCTTCTTTTCTCTTTAGATATTAAAGTCATCATAACTTGGATCTCCAAATAGAATGGAACATTCCCCTAAGGGATATTTTCTCCTCTTTGGGTTTTAAGCTAGATGTGATATCCCACCTCAAAGTTACACTTTCATATTACAACTCTATTCAAATTATATTTACATTACATCTCAAAAATAAAAAAAATCTAAATCACCTACAAGGTTATCCCAAGAAATTATATATGAAACCATACTAAGTAGTTATATATGCCAAATTGTATAAATTCTATTTACAGGCACGTTTGGCTATAATTTTAAAGAGGGCCTAGCATTTTGCACATGTAGAAAATTTTGTCAATTTTAAATCTTTAATTTAGCCCTGTATGACTATGACCACATGTAGAAAATTCTGCGAGCATCCAGATCATTTCTAACTTATGGGTAATCTATTGCTCATCACATCAATTCACATATTTCATGAATAAATAAATAATCACATCAATCATTATAGCCAGCATACAGTGAAAATCACAAGAAAAGCCCGACATACAACAATAGAAAATTAAACACCGATCTAATCTCAATCTAAAGTTGGTGGTCATAGCAAATAAATCTAAGTGTGTGTAGTAGGTTGTGTGGTTTAGGGATATCTTAGGCTTACCATTAATTGAAGTTTTCTAATTAATTAAATTTAATTTATTGAAATGTCAAGGGAAATTTGATATTCAAATTTAAGTTTTAGGTGACTTAATATATATATATATATTGATATTCAAATTTAAGTTTTAGGTGACTTAGTGTGTGTGTGTGTGTATACATTAAATCATTTTGTTATTCAAATAGTTCATTTTTTTAATTATTGTTTAATTTTTAAAGTTGGTTAATAATTGATTATTTGGGGAATTTTAATTAATTGTTTTTTAGTATTTATTTATTTATTTGATGATTTATTAACAAAATATCAGTTGTTTATTCAATTTGATGATTTATTAAAATTTTAATGATTTATTGAGTTTTTAATGATTTATTGGATTTTCTAAAGATTTAGTGAATTATTTATTTATTTATTTTTAATTGAATTAATTTATTATTTGACCTCTTCCAATTTCACCTGAGATTTGTACATTTAGGTCATTAGAAATTTTTATCAATCTTTTATTTAGTCATCTATATTTATTTATTATTATGTATTTATGGTTTTAAAATTCAAGTTTAATCTTTATGTTAATTTTTTATTGTATGTTATTATTTATTTAAATAAAATGGATTTTTTTAATGTCTTTAGTTTATACCTTTGATTATGATGTTAATATTCATGTATGACAATTTTATTTATGATTTTACGATTTTGATTTTCATGTATATTATTATCAATTTTGTTTTAATTTAGGAGTCATTTTAATTATAATTTTATGGTTTTATGATTTTATTTATTTTATTTTTTTTAGTTGAAACCCACAGTAGGGGCCTACGCGTTAATATAAAAACCAGTTACACGGTCCTTAGAATGATCCTCCAGCTCACTACGCTCATACGAGCTACAATCAAAAAGAAAAATAAGTCCTACGAGCCGGTAGATCCTTTTTCTACCATTACAATATAGGCAAAATTTAGAGCTGGTCTGCAATTCAACAGCACCCAAAAAACGGAAGCAAAATTTAGAGCTGGTTTTATGATTTTATGATTTAACAATTCTATGATTTTGTTTTAAGTTAGAGATTATTTTACTCTTACTAAAAAAAAGATTATCATTTGTGTTACATGTTTATTCACTTACCAATTTTGTAAGTTATATAGGAAGCAACATATGGTATAACTGACATGTTTTAATTTTGCACATCCAAAATGATGGCAATTTAATGAGTTCATCCTCCCTCCATAAATTGCAATTTTTATTTGACTCACATATGTTGTAGGAATATTGTCATTTTTGTGTTGTTTATCATTGGATGTGTGAAGGTAAAGCAGGAAGCTAAAGTAAATCTCACAAATGGCCTGAAAATATTTATGCATTTTTATAGGTATGTATATATATTTTAAGCATTTTGATATGTATGCATTTGTATATACACTTATACATTACTAGTATAAATGCACATGCACATGGTGCACGTTAATAAAAACTAAAAAATAGTATTTATATAATATCATTGTATTCACCAAGTACATGAGAATAAAATTTAAAATTTAGAGCAAACCAACCAACAACAGGGCTCTCCGTCAAGTGTACTCCAATTGGAAAGAGCTGCAACTGGGTCTTCTAATATATATCTCTTAAAAGCCATTAGCACATAAAATATCTGAATGTCATAAAATGTACACTCGAATAAAATTACAATTCCAAATGCCTACTTCAACCACAAAACTGTAAAAACAAGCATATTCATATATTAATAAGCATAACGTCAAAATACTCTCTTCATGTGCAAGGATTGAAAAAAAAAGAAGAAAATATCTCGCAATAGATGGCGAGGATCAAAATAAACTGAAACCTTGCTACTTCCCAAAACGGGAAAAATTTTAAATTTCAGTTGGTTGCATCCTTCGCTTTCCAAAACATATGCACGATCTTACATATTTATAAGTTATGATTGTTGAGCCAGACAACTTTCACCATTGCTTATGTAGACATGTAAGTAAAAGGAAAACATTTCTGCCTAAGTCGAATATACAAGTAGCCAATTGTGGAGAGAATGTGTGCAAGCTTTGAAAAGGAGCAAATGCCATCCTACCTCCTTCGTGAGATAAGTAACTAATATTTTTGGTTGTCCGGCTATATTTATTTGTGTAATAAGATAAACGTTTGTTGCAACCCAAGTGGTGGTTTCGGGTAGGCGAGAGAGGAAGAAGATGTCACCATTGGGGAAATGATGGTGAGAGGGATGCCATAACTGGTGAAGGCCTTGGCAATGCCAAAATCGCAGTCGAAGGTTTCACCCAATTAAATGTGGGAGTTTGTTGCCTAAGGTTCCGTAGTTTTTGCCGATGGTTGATAGAGATTCGTAGGCTTGAAGAGTACCACTTCCAAATCTAAGGAAGCCTTTATTCTATTGGCTATGTGAGGCTAGATCGAAGCATCGACGACATAGATAACTTAAGAGAGGCATCATTACCCATGGAACAAGCTCGTTCCCAACCATCTCAATGCAATGTAGATGATATGAATAGCCAGCAGTTGTGAAATTAAGAGGCATTCCAAGTTTTTGAAGAGGTTTCTTTGATTTTAATTGTTGAAATCAGGAGCTAAAGAGGTTTATACAGGGAGATGCGAAGAGGTTAATGACTTAATGAATGACTGAGAAATTAAATGACGGTAGACGAATATGCATAGAAGAGAAAACAAGCCAAAAATTGAAAAATGAAGGGGCGAAGTGGCTTTTTAATATTAGTATAGTACAAATTTAGGGGATACAAAGAGCCGACTACAAATGATATTTAATGAAATATATTTCAAATATTTAATATATCAAGAATACATATATATTTTTAAAATTATTAAAATGAAATGAAGGGTCGGGATAGTTTTTAAATAAATAAAATAAACAATCAAAATTTTGATGGTGAAGGAAATTCAAGCCACACTTATAATAGTAGTAAGTATAGAAATAAAAATAAGGATAGCACAATTCTTAAAATCATAAGCCCAAATAATGTTTGGATATTAAAAATCTTATGACACTAAGAAGCTAAGGATAGCACAACCAACATTGCTTCCATCCAACATCTTCCAGTAAACTTGTTTACATATGCCTTAATCAATTAAATAGGATAAATTTAGACATGAATTATAAAGTTGGAGAAAAATCAATAATAAATAAAAGTGACATTGTCATTTACACAGAAATGTCAAAAAAAAAAATCTAAAAGTAACTGGATAATATATAACAATCAAGAGAGTAGCAATGTCAAGCATTGATTGAACAAGCAGACAATAATGCAAGAACTTCCTGAATGAAAAGTATGAAACTACAATAAGTTACAGTAATTAAAGACAAGGTCAATTCTTCCTAATTTATAAAATAACGATGAAGAAAGCTTATGAAGTAAAAGTTAAAAAAAGGCTCATAACAAGTGGAGTTAAGATTTGAACCATAACATAATTAGTTTCTCCCAATATATACGGGTTCTTGTGAAGATGGGGAAAGTTTGGCAAGAGCTTTGTAAAAAATAAAAAAGATAAAATCTTGAAATAGAAAATTTATTGCAACTACTTAGCTTTTCATAACAAAATCAAATATTATCCCAGGAAAAAAAAATCATAACCAGTGAGGTGCATTTGCAATCCACGATAGCCACAATATCTAAGATGGGAAATTCTTAGGAAGGGAAATGAATTTAAAAGAAGAAAATCGGAACTTAGCTTTAAACAAAGTACTGGCTTCTTCTTTTTCGCATCTCCCATAATGCTATGGATTTGCCAATAATCAAAGATATTAATCAAGTGTAAAACTTGCATGATGAAAAAAATTTACCTCTTTTATTAATTCTTTAACTTTAGGGAGGAGATCTAGCGACAGTCTTCTTCGATTTCGACTTCTTTCATCCTAACATCGTAAGCTGAAATAGTTATCAAAAGTCACAATCTTTAAAACAATTTGTATTTAAGTAAAAAAATATTGATGTACTTTGTGTAATATATATTTTAAATGTTAATAAAAAAATAAAAGTAAATTAATCAAATAATATATCATATTGTTAATTATGAATTTCAATCACATTTCTATCTCTATTACTATATCCAAAGATGCTTGATTAATTGACTATTTTTAAAAATAATCATAGAGGTTAAGAGATCATTTCATATATGTTCAAGTATTTCAAAATCATGCAATTAAATTTATTAAAAATAATCTGAAGATGCCCAATCTTGAGTGATTGAATTTGTATTATCATAATAACAATGATAATACAATTAATTTTTGTTTACTTCTATTTCATCAAAAAAATTGAGGAAAAATCTTTCTCATCAAAATAAAAGGAAATGATATAGGAGAAAGCTAATTATAGAGACAATAAAACAATAATCCAAGCACGCATTAATTGAGTATTTTTAATAAGAAGAGATAACCTGTAAAACTTACCTCAGGCTAGACGCTTGGAAGTTCTAAAATGGATGTGTTTCTTCCAACCTTAGGATGATAGAAGTTGGAGAGAAGCAACGGCGATTTGGTAGCCAAGGGCCCAAAGCTCTTCTTCATGCGAAGCAGGTGAACGAAGAGGTCTTGAAATCATGGGGATGTGAAAAATCGTGACTTCCGATCAAATAGGAACAGCATGGAAGAAGTTTCCTCTACTCTCCCAAAATTCTTCTTCACACGAAGCAGGGGAACGAATACGCCTAATAGAGGATGTGAAGAGATGTGAAGATGAGCCCGAGCTCCCGTCGTGACTTCCAATCCGACAGGAGGAGAAGAAGGAGAATAAACTTTTTAGTGATTTCACCCGTCTCCGGGAAGAAGAGGAAGCGAAGAAATAAATTGAGATGAGCGGAATGCAATGAAACGCAAAAACATATGGAGCAAATTAAATTAATAATTTACAATAAATAAATATTGTAGTTTCAAAGAATATGGTTAGCCAAATGCAACGACGATTTGGTAGCCAATGCACACAAAAAAGTGGTTTCCTTCATCTTCCAAAACATGAAGTGCGAAATGCTTAATGCAAACACTTTGGAAGTTCAAGAGAACGAGATAGTAATTAATTAATGAAATTGAAGGCTTTTCAGTTATGCATTTAAAGTCTTCAATTCAATAGATCTGTAGTGGAATCATTTCATCAAATAAAGCGTAGCATTAATAGTCTCTTCCTGCTAATCACTTTTTGAGATATTAAAAGCCAAAGATTAGGGACAACGGCGCGAAGACCACGAGGCTAAGGCGATATTAGGATGGGTTTAGACTTGCACGAAAGATTAATACATACATGAATTAATAATTAAGTGAAACGTTCAAAAGAATTAAAAAATTAAATTAGTCAAAAGGAACCTAAGGGAAACTCAACAGACGGTAAAACGTTTAGATAATTATGTAAAACGTTCAGAAGAATTAATAAATTAAATAAGTGAAACATAACCTAATAAATAAATTAATTAAATCTATAAATAAAATGAATGGTTGAGATTCATCTTTGATAAATTAAATAAAAGGTTAGGATTGCATTTGGGTGGAATCCCAAGCCACTTTTATATAGATAGTATAGATATGTCGTTTTCTTATGTCTTTCTGTATATTTCTCTAATATCTTTTTTTTTTATTTTTTGGTGAAA